AGGAAAAGCACAATCAAAGCTCCCCTGACAGATGGTCCCCCAGTCTTTGTAGTAATAATAATAATAATAATAATAATAATAATAATAATAATAATAGAAACCCATGCAGGAAAAGCACAATCAAAGCTCCCCTGACAGATGGTCCCCCAGTCTTTGTAGTAATAATAATAATAATAATAATAATAATAATAATAATAGAAAGCCATGCAGGAAAAGCACAATCAAAGCTCCCCTGACAGATGGTCCCCCAGTCTTTGTAATAATAATAATAATAATAATAATAATAATAATAATAATAATAATAGAAACCCATGCAGGAAAAGCACAATCAAAGCTCCCCTGACAGATGGTCCCCCAGTCTTTGTAATAATAATAATAATAATAATAATAATAATAATAATAATAGAAAGCCATGCAGGAAAAGCACAATCAAAGCTCCCCTGACAGATGGTCCCCCAGTCTTTGTAATAATAATAATAATAATAATAATAATAATAATAGAAACCCATGCAGGAAAAGCACAATCAAAGCTCCCCTGACAGATGGTCCCCCAGTCTTTGTAATAATAATAATAATAATAATAATAATAATAATAGAAACCCATGCAGGAAAAGCACAATCAAAGCTCCCCTGACAGATGGTCCCCCAGTCTTTGTAATAATAATAATAATAATAATAATAATAATAATAATAATAATAGAAAGCCATGCAGGAAAAGCACAATCAAAGCTCCCCTGACAGATGGTCCCCCAGTCTTTGTAGTAATAATAATAATAATAATAATAATAATAATAATAATAATAATAATAGAAAGCCATGCAGGAAAAGCACAATCAAAGCTCCCCTGACAGATGGTCCCCCAGTCTTTGTAGTAATAATAATAATAATAATAATAATAATAATAGAAAGCCATGCAGGAAAAGCACAATCAAAGCTCCCCTGACAGATGGTCCCCCAGTCTTTGTAGTAATAATAATAATAATAATAATAATAATAATAATAGAAACCCATGCAGGAAAAGCACAATCAAAGCTCCCCTGACAGATGGTCCCCCAGTCTTTGTAAATAATAATAATAATAATAATAATAATAATAATAATAATAGAAAGCCATGCAGGAAAAGCACAATCAAAGCTCCCCCAACATAAGGTCCCCCATTCTTTGTAGTAATAATAATAATAATAATAATAATAATAATAATAATAATAATAGAAAGCCATGCAGGAAAAGCACAATCAAAGCTCCCCTGACAGATGGTCCCCCAGTCTTTGTAGTAATAATAATAATAATAATAATAATAATAATAATAATAATAATAGAAAGCCATGCAGGAAAAGCACAATCAAAGCTCCCCTGACAGATGGTCCCCCAGTCTTTGTAGTAATAATAATAATAATAATAATAATAATAATAATAAAATAGAAAGCCATGCAGGAAAAGCACAATCAAAGCTCCCCTGACAGATGGTCCCCCAGTCTTTGTAGTAATAATAATAATAATAATAATAATAATAATAATAATAATAATAGAAACCCATGCAGGAAAAGCACAATCAAAGCTCCCCTGACAGATGGTCCCCCAGTCTTTGTAGTAATAATAATAATAATAATAATAATAATAATAATAATAATAATAGAAAGCCATGCAGGAAAAGCACAATCAAAGCTCCCCTGACAGATGGTCCCCCAGTCTTTGTAATAATAATAATAATAATAATAATAATAATAATAATAATAATAATAGAAAGCCATGCAGGAAAAGCACAATCAAAGCTCCCCTGACAGATGGTCCCCCAGTCTTTGTAGTAATAATAATAATAATAATAATAATAATAATAGAAAGCCATGCAGGAAAAGCACAATCAAAGCTCCCCTGACAGATGGTCCCCCAGTCTTTGTAGTAATAATAATAATAATAATAATAATAATAATAATAATAGAAACCCATGCAGGAAAAGCACAATCAAAGCTCCCCTGACAGATGGTCCCCCAGTCTTTGTAATAATAATAATAATAATAATAATAATAATAATAATAATAATAGAAACCCATGCAGGAAAAGCACAATCAAAGCTCCCCTGACAGATGGTCCCCCAGTCTTTGTAGTAATAATAATAATAATAATAATAATAATAATAATAATAATAATAGAAAGCCATGCAGGAAAAGCACAATCAAAGCTCCCCTGACAGATGGTCCCCCAGTCTTTGTAGTAATAATAATAATAATAATAATAATAATAATAATAATAATAATAGAAACCCATGCAGGAAAAGCACAATCAAAGCTCCCCTGACAGATGGTCCCCCAGTCTTTGTAGTAATAATAATAATAATAATAATAATAATAATAATAATAATAGAAAGCCATGCAGGAAAAGCACAATCAAAGCTCCCCTGACAGATGGTCCCCCAGTCTTTGTAGTAATAATAATAATAATAATAATAATAATAATAGAAACCCATGCAGGAAAAGCACAATCAAAGCTCCCCTGACAGATGGTCCCCCAGTCTTTGTAATAATAATAATAATAATAATAATAATAATAATAATAATAATAGAAACCCATGCAGGAAAAGCACAATCAAAGCTCCCCTGACAGATGGTCCCCCAGTCTTTGTAATAATAATAATAATAATAATAATAATAATAATAGAAACCCATGCAGGAAAAGCACAATCAAAGCTCCCCTGACAGATGGTCCCCCAGTCTTTGTAGTAATAATAATAATAATAATAATAATAATAATAATAATAATAATAGAAACCCATGCAGGAAAAGCACAATCAAAGCTCCCCTGACAGATGGTCCCCCAGTCTTTGTAGTAATAATAATAATAATAATAATAATAATAATAATAATAATAATAGAAACCCATGCAGGAAAAGCACAATCAAAGCTCCCCTGACAGATGGTCCCCCAGTCTTTGTAGTAATAATAATAATAATAATAATAATAATAATAATAATAATAATAGAAACCCATGCAGGAAAAGCACAATCAAAGCTCCCCTGACAGATGGTCCCCCAGTCTTTGTAGTAATAATAATAATAATAATAATAATAATAATAATAATAGAAACCCATGCAGGAAAAGCACAATCAAAGCTCCCCTGACAGATGGTCCCCCAGTCTTTGTAGATAATAATAATAATAATAATAATAATAATAATAATAATAATAGAAACCCATGCAGGAAAAACACAATCAAAGCTCCCCTGACAGATGGTCCCCCAGTCTTTGTAGTAATAATAATAATAATAATAATAATAATAATAATAATAATAATAGAAACCCATGCAGGAAAAGCACAATCAAAGCTCCCCTGACAGATGGTCCCCCAGTCTTTGTAGTAATAATAATAATAATAATAATAATAATAATAGAAACCCATGCAGGAAAAGCACAATCAAAGCTCCCCTGACAGATGGTCCCCCAGTCTTTGTAGTAATAATAATAATAATAATAATAATAATAATAATAATAATAATAGAAACCCATGCAGGAAAAGCACAATCAAAGCTCCCCTGACAGATGGTCCCCCAGTCTTTGTAATAATAATAATAATAATAATAATAATAATAATAATAATAGAAACCCATGCAGGAAAAACACAATCAAAGCTCCCCTGACAGATGGTCCCCCAGTCTTTGTAATAATAATAATAATAATAATAATAATAATAATAGAAACCCATGCAGGAAAAACACAATCAAAGCTCCCCTGACAGATGGTCCCCCAGTCTTTGTAGTAATAATAATAATAATAATAATAATAATAATAATAATAATAATAGAAACCCATGCAGGAAAAGCACAATCAAAGCTCCCCTGACAGATGGTCCCCCAGTCTTTGTAGTAATAATAATAATAATAATAATAATAATAATAATAATAATAATAGAAACCCATGCAGGAAAAGCACAATCAAAGCTCCCCTGACAGATGGTCCCCCAGTCTTTGTAATAATAATAATAATAATAATAATAATAATAATAATAATAATAATAGAAACCCATGCAGGAAAAGCACAATCAAAGCTCCCCTGACAGATGGTCCCCCAGTCTTTGTAGTAATAATAATAATAATAATAATAATAATAATAATAATAATAATAGAAACCCATGCAGGAAAAGCACAATCAAAGCTCCCCTGACAGATGGTCCCCCAGTCTTTGTAGTAATAATAATAATAATAATAATAATAATAATAATAATAATAGAAACCCATGCAGGAAAAGCACAATCAAAGCTCCCCTGACAGATGGTCCCCCAGTCTTTGTAGTAATAATAATAATAATAATAATAATAATAATAATAATAATAGAAACCCATGCAGGAAAAACACAATCAAAGCTCCCCTGACAGATGGTCCCCCAGTCTTTGTAATAATAATAATAATAATAATAATAATAATAATAATAATAATAGAAAGCCATGCAGGAAAAGCACAATCAAAGCTCCCCTGACAGATGGTCCCCCAGTCTTTGTAGTAATAATAATAATAATAATAATAATAATAATAAAATAGAAACCCATGCAGGAAAAACACAATCAAAGCTCCCCTGACAGATGGTCCCCCAGTCTTTGTAATAATAATAAATAATAATAATAATAATAATAATAATAATAGAAACCCATGCAGGAAAAGCACAATCAAAGCTCCCTCGACAGAAAGTCCCCCACTTTGTAATAATAATAATAATAATAATAATAATAATAATAATAATAATAATAGAAAGCCATGCAGGAAAAGCACAATCAAAGCTCCCCTGACAGATGGTCCCCCAGTCTTTGTAATAATAATAATAATAATAATAATAATAATAATAGAAACCCATGCAGGAAAAACACAATCAAAGCTCCCCCAACATATGGTCCCCCAGTCTTTGTAATAATAATAATAATAATAATAATAATAATAATAATAATAATAATAATAGAAACCCATGCAGGAGTAGCACAATCCAAGCTCCCCCGACAGATGGCCACCCAGCCCATTACCTGGAGTCTTGCGCATCCTGCCGGAGCCACAAGATGTGGGCTTCTTTCCCTGGGTTCTGGCCAGAGGATGGACATCCCTGGATATTGGCGGAGGCCGCTTCCACCTCGAGGTAGGGCTCTGTGCTGAAGCCCTCCTCCGGGACACAATCTGCGCTGGAGCCGGACTCTGGGAAGACACAGACAAACCATTACTCTCCATGGGAAATCCAGCCACGACCTTATCATCTTAGTTGCCTTGGTTGCTTCACTAACTCTTGTGTTAAGACAGTTTTACACAATGAGGTGAGACAGTGGTTGTGGGCACACAGCTATTCCTCTTAGGGCTTTGACACTTTTGCTCAGCCTTCTCTGGGCACATGCCCAACTTCTCAACATCCTTCTCAAGCTGCTTTTCCTGGAACTGGACACAGGGATGGGGATTTTAGTGTATTGGTTGTATTGTAATTGTTACTATTAAATTGTTTTGGTTTTTTTTTTGCATTGCACTTTTCAAACTTGTCTAGTGTGGACAGAGGTGGCCCTAGGTAATTTTCAACGGTAAGCAAACAGTATTTTGGCGTCCCCCCCCCCCCAACCAACCAGCCCTAATATTTTCTGTTTGTCGTGGGAGTTCTGTGTGCCATATTTGGTTCAATTCCATCATTGGTGGAGTTCAGAATGCTCTTTGATTGTAGGTGAACTATACATCCCAGTAACTACACTTGCCGCACTTGCTCCCTTGCCTGGCCCGCTTTGGGTCCGGAGGCGTGCCTGAAGACCCCGGCGTGTGCACCAAAAGTCACCTCCTCTCATTGGGACCGAGAGAGAGAGAGAGAGAGAGGTGGAGATGCCCACCTTTCCTGAAGGTAGGCGCAAATCAAAGGAGGGAGCGGAGATGGGAGATACCTCCAGCCGGAGGGGCTCTCTCTCTCTCTCTCTCTTGGCCCGCTTCGGGTCCGGAGGCGTGCCTGAAGATCCCGCGTGTGCACCAAAAGTCACCTCTTCTCCTGACTTTCTCCTCAGCCATTGGGACCATGAGAGAGAGAGAGAGAGAGAGAGAGAGAGAGGTGGAGATGCCCACCTTTCCTGAAGGTAGGCGCAAAAACAAAGGAGGGAGCGGAGGTGGGAGATACCTCCAGCCGGAGGGGCTCTCTCTCTCTCTCTCTTGGTCCCAATGGCTGAAGAGAAAGGAGAAGAGGCGACTTTTGGTGCGCACGCTGGGGTCTTCAGACACGCCTCCGGACCCAAAGTGGGCCAGGCGCGGCGGCTCCGCCCCTTGGCCCACCCGCGGATTGGGGAGAGGAGAGGAGGCGGGTGGAGCGCTGGGGGATCGGGAAAGGGAGCCGGTCATGGGGAAGGGATCGAATGCGGAGAACGATTGAGCGCCGGCTCTGCTTGCGCACCCGGTGGTCAGGTGGAGCAGGAACGAGAGGGGTGAGGCTAGGCTCAAGGGCCCGGCCCCTTTGGGAAGAGGATCGCCCGGCAGCGAGGCAAGAAAGCCGAGGCTCCCCCCGGACTGCTAGGGCTGTTGTGAGCGGAGGGGGCGCTCCTCAAGTGGCAATCGAGGGGCATTTACAGAGGCGCCTCTGCGCCCCTGGCAAAAAAAGTGTTCTGCGACCGCTTACTTCGCGTAATGGACGAGCCGCCCCTGAGTGTGGAGTGTTAGCCACCTCGAGTCCCCAACCATGGGGAGAAAGGCAGGATATAAATAAAGACAACAACAACAACAATAATAATATTGCAGGGGAGATCTGTCCAAAGCAGAATAGAGAGGGACAGGACTTCCTTCAGTATTGAACCTATACTCTTTGTGATACAGCTGAGAATTTCATTGGCTTTTTGCGCTGTTGCATCACACTCTTGACTCATGCTTCTCATGTGGCCCGCTAAGACTTCCAGATCCTGTTGAATGCTAAGGCTATATCTAGGGAGTACAATAATAAAGATTATGTATATTAGGCATAGGCCAACTTGGGCCCTCCAGGTGTTTTGGACTTCAACTCTCACCATTCCTAACAGCCTACCGGCTGTTAGGAATGGTGGGAGTTGAAGTCCATAACACCTGGAGGAAAGGCCCAAGTTGGCCCATGCTTGCTTTAGGATCATTATGTCAGTGCTAGCTCATTAGCCTCCTCGTTTATTCCCATTTGCTATGAGATTTATGGCCTTGCTGAAGGGCCCAAGTTTGCCCATGCCTGAATTGTATATGTGAGCAATCCTTAGTTCTGAGAATCCTTAGTTCTGAGGGCATGGAGTGCCTGTGCTGTGCTCTTCCATACAGGTGGGCTTTTGGGAGGACGGCTTGGCTGCCATTGTAGAAGCACCGACCTGTGCCCAGCCGGAAATGGATCTTCTGGGGGGCTTCCAGCTCCGCGAAGGTGGAGACCCCCCCGTAGGCCGCCTTCGCCCAGGTGAGCAGCTCCTTGCCGGAGGACGAAGACAGGTTCGCCCGCGGGGTTTCCGCTCTCAGCCCTTGCACTAGGACGTTGCCAGTCGCCTGCAGAAGAGAAACGAGAATCAAAACAGTGCAACTGGGAAACGCCAGAACTGGAGGAGGAGGCATTTGGATCCAAGCACTCCGTTCTAAAATAATAATAACTAGCTGCCCCCTGCCAGGCGTTGCTGTGGCCCAGTCTGGTGATCTTGAAAATAAAGTAATGAGAAAGTGTTGGTTTCTAATATATGTAATGTCTTTCTGCTTGTGGGTAAACACTATTTCTTGCTGTTTCTTTGCCAGTTTTGATGTGGAGAGTGTCTGGTTTGCCCGCCCTGGAACATGCAACATATCATTGTCCTTCTTTAAGGGTCCCTTTCAAATCTAGGATACTATACCTGTGTGTGTGTGCATCATATCTATCTATTAGGCTTGGGCGGTTTCGTTCGTTAATTTCGTAAGTTGTTATTAATTCGTATTTAAATTAGCTTACGATCCAATATTGAGCCATGCAGAACTACTGCGAGGAGTAATTAAAAATCGAAACAATTTTTCCAATTTATTTCGTATTGTTTCGTAATTGTTTCGAAATTGTTTCGAAATTGTTTCGTTATTATTTCCGTATGACTGGTGCAAGTTTTAGGGTTGTTGTTTGTTTTATCAGTGATAAAAAATATAATTATCACACCAACAGTCAACAACAGAGGGAGAGGGAAGCTTCAGAAGTTCCCCCGGTCCCATTTGGAGGGGTTTTTAGCATATTGCGCAATCGGGCCCTCCAAAAACTGGATAGATACCCTGGTATATTATATTATTATTTTGAGAAATGGGCTTCTTTTTGCCTACGTCTTCCTCACCCAAGGGAGGTGACCGCCGTGCCCCCTTCTGAGACTCCCCTTTGGCCCCTTCTGCCCCACAAGGGATGGGAAAGCAAGGCAGCCCCAGGGATCAAAGCAGGAGGCAGGCTAATCTTCTCCCAGGATCAAAGCCCGTTTGCGGCCCATTGTTGTCTGCTGAGGAATCCGGGGAAAACAATCAGCCGGAAGAGGGGCTCCTTTGAAGGCCTGGCCTCACGTCCAGCATCTCCAAAGAGCCACTTTGGCCCCGCTTTGGAATTCCCTTCGCAAACAGGCGCCTTCATAACATCACTCAAGGGTGACCGCGTGGACTTGGACAAGGTTCCCCATGATCTCCTTGCAAACAAGCTACTAAAATGTATGCTAGACATGGGCAATACTCCTGCGAGGTGGACTTGCCATTGGTTGAGTGACCGAAGCCCAAGGGTGCTTCTCCCCAATGGTTCCTCCTCTTCATCCTGCAAATGGGGAGCCCTCGGTGGCGCAGCGGGTCAAACCCTTGTGCCGTCAGGACTGAAGACCCACAGATCAAAAGTTTCAATCAGGGGAAAGCCGGTTGAGCTCCCTCTGTCAGCTCCAGCTCCCCATGCGGGGACATGGGAGAAGCCTCCCTCCCACAAGGGTGGTAAACATCAAACATCCAAGCAGCGTCCCCTGGGAAACGACCTTGCAGACAGCCCATTCTCTCACCCCAGAAGTGACTTGCAGTTTCTCAAGTTGCTCCTGACACGGAAAAAAAAAATCCTGCAAAGAAGTAATTGTATTGTCGAAGACTTCCATGGCTGGAATCATTGGGTTGTTGTAGGTTTTTTGGGCTATATGGCCATGTTCTAGAAGCATTCTCTCCTGACATTTCGCCTGCATCTATGGCAAGCATCCTCAGAGGTATCCTCTGAGGATGCTTGCCATAGATGCAGGCGAAACGTCAGGAGAGAACGCTTCTAGAACATGGCCATATAGCTCAAAAAACCTACAATAACCCAAAGAAGTAATCCCCCAGGCTCAGCCAGGCCTTCAAATGCTAATGAAGGTGGTCAGTTGAAACATTCACACCTAGCTCCAGCAGACAAGAGTCCTTTGTCCCACCCTGGTCATTCCACAGATATATAAACCCATTTTCCTAGTTCCAAGAGACCTCACTACCTCTGAGGATGCTTGCCATAGATGCAGGCGAAACGTCAGGAGAAAATGCCTCTAGAACATGGCCATATAGCCCAAAAAACCTACAATAACCCAAAGAAGTAATCCCCCAGGCTCAGCCAGGCCTTCAAATGCTAATGAAGGTGGTCAGTTGAAACATTCACACCTAGCTCCAGCAGACAAGATTCCTTTGTCCCACCCTGGTCATTCCACAGATATATAAACCCATTTTCCTAGTTCCAACAGACCTCACTACCTCTGAGGATGCTTGCCATAGATGCAGGCGAAACGTCAGGAGAGAATGCCTCTAGAACATGGCCATATAGCCCGAAAAACCCTATAAGAACCTAGTGATTCCAGCCATGAAAGCCTTCGACAAAAGAAGTAATTGTTTGGGTGCCATAAAGAGAATTCCGTCATGCGTCTTTCAGGGCTGTTCATTGTTGTTGTTGTTGTTGTTCAGGGCTGTTAGTTGCTGGTGTTTGATACACAACAAGATGAGTACACTGCAAACACAGCCAAGTCGCAAAGCGGCTAGCATTGAAAGCACCACAACACCATTGCAATACAATGCAACCCTATGTGACCCAGCCATCTGCAAGGCCACCTTTGCCCACGCTCAATCCGATCGCGCCCAATGCCCTGCCCGGTCCCGACTCCATTGTTGGCCTTTTAAAATGACTATTATTAGACACAAATAGGAAACGCTGGCTGGAGGCATTCACGGAGACATTCCACGAAGCCCTTTGGAGCATGGCGTAGTGGTTGCAGGCTTAGGCCTGGGCAAAATGTTTATATATCTGTGGAATGACCAGGGTGGGACAAAGGACTCTTGTCTGCTGGAGCTAGGGGTGAATGTTTCAGAATGCAAATCAAGGTGATCAGCTGAAACATTCACACTTAGCTCCAGCAGACCAGAGTCGTTTGTCCCACCCTGGTCATTCCACAGATATATAAACCCATTTTTCCTAATTCCAACAGACCTCACTACCTCTGAGGATGCTTGCCATAGATGCAGGTGAAACGTCAGGAGAAAAATTGCCTCCAGAACATGGCCATATAGCCCGGAAAAACCTACAACAACCCTGTAATACAATACAATATATAATATAATATATAATAATACAATATAATATATAATAAAAATTATATATTTTATATTACATGTAATATTACTAATAATATTACAACATAATGGTGTAGTACAATACAGTAATATATAATACTGATATTGTACCATGCTAATAATTTAATATATTGTATATACTGGAGTATAAGCCTAGTTTTTCAGTCCTTTTTTTAGGCTGAAAAAGTCTCCCCTGGCTTATACTCGAGTCAATATTATTTATTATTTTACTTTGTTGTTGTTATTATTATTATTATTACATTTATTATTTTATTTTTATTATTAATACATTTTATTATTTTGTTGTTGTTATTATTACATATATTATTTTAGGCTATTATTGTTACGTTGATTATTTTACTCTATCATTGTTATTGTTACATGTATTATTTTACTGTATTCTTATTATTACGTTGATTATTTTACTCTATTATTGTTATTGTTGCATGTATTATTTTACTGTATTCTTATTATTACGTTACTTTATTATTGTTACTGTTGCATGTATTATTTTACTGTATTCTTATTATTACGTTGATTATTTTACTCTATCATTGTTATTGTTGCATGTATTATTTTACTGTATTCTTATTATTACGTTGATTATTTTACTCTATTATTGTTATTGTTACATGTATTATTTTACTGTATTCTTATTATTACGTTGATTATTTTACTCTATTATTGTTATTGTTACATGTATTATTTTACTGTATTCTTATTATTACGTTGATTATTTTACTCTATTATTGTTATTGTTGCATGTATTATTTTACTGTATTCTTATTATTACGTTGATTATTTTACTCTATTATTGTTATTGTTGCATGTATTATTTTACTGTATTGGAACTCTCTGCCCCGGAGTGTGGTGGAGGCTCCTTCTTTGGAAGCTTTGAAACAGAGGCTGGATGTCCATCTGTCAGGGGTGCTTTGAGTGCAGTATTCCTGCTTCTTGGCAGAATGGGGTTGGACTGGATGGCCCAGGAGGTCTCTTTCAACTCTAGGATTCATTGTCCAGTTCCATCGTCAAGTTGTCAGATTTCCTATATCAGTTAACTAATTCCGTTACTCTACATTTGTAAACGCTTGCTCAAATAGCCATGTTTTAACTTGCTTCCAAAACGTTAAGAGGAAGGGAGCAGATTTGATCTCTCTAGGGAGGGCGTTCCATAGCTGAGGGGCCACCACTGAGAAGGCCCTGTCTCTCGTCCCCGCCAGACGTATTATTATTATTATTATTATTCTTAACTTTATTTGTACTCCGCTAACATCTCCCAAAGGACTCGGTGCGGCTTACAAGGCCAAGGCCCTTCAATAAAACAACAGCATAACAAATACAAACAATAAAACTCAAAAAGCAAACCAATAAACATTAAAACAATAACAGTAAAACAATAAAACAATACATCATAACACATTAAAACAAGGGCCGGACCAAATGTAATGGATAAAGTTAAAAGTGCTGGCTGGGCATGACAGGTGAAATATAAGGATTTTAGGGTAGGTGCGATGTGCAGGCAATCTTAAATCTCTAATAAAGTGTGTTTGGGACATGATGCCGGGAGTTTCCTATTCTGGAAAGGCACACTGGAACAGCCAGGTCTTCAAGCTCTTCCTAAAGACTGCCAATGTTGGGGCTTGTCTGATGTCCTTGGGGAGAGAGTTCCAGAGTCAGGGGGCCACCACAGAGAAGGCCCTGTCCCTCGTCCCTACTAAACGTGCTTGCGACAGAGGTGGGATCGTGAGCAGGGCCTCTCCAGATGAACGGAGGGTTCATATACGGAGATGCGGTCACTTGTGACGAAGGCGGGACCGAGAGCAGGACATCCCCGGACGATCTCAAGGTCCTCGATGGTTCGTAAGGGGAGATGCATTCTGTGACGATGTGTAACTTTTATTCCTTTGGTTATGCGTAATTTAAATAGTGGTTTAAGGATGGTAAGTATGTAGGATTGTGTTTTGTTGGAGATGGTGGCTTGGCGTTGGCTGAGTTGCCATAGCAACAGGGGCGGAGCCAACTGCCTCTTCATGGGGCAGCTGTTTTTGAAAGTCAGTCAGTAAGCCGGTGAGCTACTGGGTAGACTGAGTCTCTGGGTGGAGATTCAGGGAATGTGTTAGTAAGCCGGTCAGCTACTGGGTAGACTGAGTCTCTGGGTGGAGATTCAGGGAATGTGTCAGTAAGCTGGTGAGCTACTGGGTAGACTGAGTCTCTGGGTGGAGATTCAGGGAATGTGTCAGTAAGCCGGTGAGCTACTGGGTAGACTGAGTCTCTGGGTGGAGATTCAGGGAATGTGTCTGTAGCCAGTGTGCTATAGGGAATTCTGTTAAATAAGCCTTTTAGCTTATTTGTTTTATTAGGACAGTTGTCCAGAAGGGTTACATCTGCTTATAGAAACCTCTTGAAGTCTGTGCCTGAGATTACTCATGAAACATTACTAATGTAACCAATCAAGATTTGTGCCTCTTGTGAAGAAACAGTTAAACATGTTATACTCCTGTTAAAATAAACTTGTTACTGTTTTCCTCAAGCCTTGCCTGATACAGTTTCTCCTAAGTTGAACAGCCTGCATAAGTAAAGTCAAGCCAGGGACAGTAAATGCTACGCTATCAAATGAATAAAGCCTTCTGTAATTAATAGTCCCTTTATAAAATAGCTCTTAAGCTGATATTGATCGTTGCCCGGCTTCCCTCACAGATTAGGTGGCAGTAAGTTCAACCACACGCTCTTTCACAAATTGGGGGCATTCGGTGGCATTAAAACGGTCATCTTTACACATTCGGACAGGTAAGTTGGGCCAGAACCGTTTTTGAACTCAAGTCTTGGCCCAGCATTCCATACAGGGGCTCCCGACTTCATCTACACCCCCAAAACTGGGATTCAAGGCGGCTTACATATACACTGCAAGAATAATACAGTTTGGCACCACTTTAATTGCTATGTCTCAAGACTATGGAACGGCGGGAGTTGTAGTTTCACAAGGGCTTTTGCCCCGTCGTTTGGTAGGTACTCACAGCGATGAAGGTAAGTTGGGGATCCTGTGTAGTCACAGTCAGGAAGGACACCACATTGGAGTTCACCACAAACAGAGACCTCCGGCTTGGTTCCGCCGCAGAGACGCTCACGTTGAACAGCAGGTTGATGATCTGGAAGGGATACAGAGGATTTGTCAAGATAGGGAAGAGAATTGTGCAACTCTCTCTCTGTCTGTCTGTCTATTTATCTCAGGAGTTCTCAACCTTTCTAATGCCGTGACCCCTTAATACAGTTCCTCATATGTTGTGGTGACCCCCAACCATAACATTATTTTTGTTGCTACTTCATAACTGGAATTTTGCTACTATTATATGTAAATATCTGATATGCAGGATGTATTTTCACAAATTATTATAATAATAATAATAACAACAAATACCCAATACTCCCACATTTGAATACTGGTGAGGTTGGCTGGGGATTGATTTTGTCATTTGGGAGTTGTGGTTGCTGGGATTGATAGTTCCCCTACAATCAGAGAGCAGCCTGAACTAGGGCTCGGCGGTTTCGTTCGTTAATTTCGTAATTCGTTATTGATTTGTATTTAAATTAGCTTACGATCCGATATTGAGCCATGCAGGAGCAACTAGAAATCGAAACGAATTTTTCAATTTATTTCGTAATCGTTTCGAAATCGTTACGAAATCGTTTCAAAATCGTTTCGTTATTATTTCCATATGTCTGGTGCAAGTTTTAGGGTTGTTGTTTGTTTTATCAGTGATAAAAAATAAATTATCACACCAACAGTCAACAACTGAGGGAGAGGGAAGCTTCAGAAGTTCCCCCGTCCCATTTGGAGGGTTTTTTTTTTTTGCATATTGCGCAATCGCGTCCGCCATTAACGAATCGATTCGTAATTGTTTCGTAATTTACGAAATTTCGTATATTTTGAACTCTTTTAAAGAAAAATTTTGGAATTCTTTTAAAAAACGAAACGCAAAAACCCCCTAAAAACGAATTGAGTTTAGAAACAATTTTTTCGTGGTTGCCCAGCCCTAGTCTGAACTCCACCAACGATGGAATCAAATCAAACTTGGCACAGAGAACTCCCATAACCAACAGAAAATACCAGAAGGGCTTGGTGGACATTGACCTTGAGTTTTGGAGTTGTGGTTCACTTGCATCCAAAAAAAAAACCAATGATGGATCTGGATCAAACGTGGCACCAATACTCAATATGCCCAAATGTGAACACTGGTGGAGTTTGGGGAAAATAGACCTTGACATTTGGGAGTTGTAGTTGCTGGCCAAATTGGGCCAAACTTTGCACAAAGAACCCCCATGACCAACAGAAAATACTGTGCTTGCTGATGGTCTTTGGCGACCCCTCTGACACCCCCTCATGACCCCCCCAGGGGTCCCGACCCCCAGGTTGCGAAACGCTATCTAGTGTAGATGCTTGTTGGGTCGGCACAAGTTGAAATCAACTGGATGGCGATCAACAACAAGAGCAACACGTTCTGCAGGCAGGGTTCATGCAAACATCACAATGGATACACTGCCATCACATCCGCTATCATAGGAGACCCCATAGAGGCCCCAAATGCCACCCAGTCCAACCCCATTCTACCAGGCAGGAAGGCACCATCAAAGCACCCTCAACAGATGGCCATCCTGACTCTGTTAAACACTCATACTACTGTCAAATGGTCCTAACCATTGGGAAGTTCTTCCTAATGTTTAAGTGGTATCTATTAAGTAGACTCCATGGCATAGCCTTCAGAGCAGCAGAAAACAAACTGGACGAGGATGTTCCTTGACTTAGACCAGGCACTGTCCAACTTTGTCCCTCCTTCCAGGTGTTTTGGAATGCAACTCCCACAATTCCTAAGTGTCCAAAACACCTGGAGGGAGGGCCGAAGTTGACCCAGATGTGGCCTCGAATTGCGTTGGCCTGTTTAGCTGCTGCGTCACACTGCAGACATGTTCAGCAACAAGAATCCCTTTCGCAGAGACTGTTTCCAAGCCAAGTGTCGCCCACCCTATTGCATTTGTGCCTTGTCCAAGTGTAGTGTAGCGGAGCGCAGGGAGCACACAACCCCCCTGTTGCGCCAACTCCACTGGCTACCGATCTGCTACCGGGCTGAATTCAAAGTGCTGGCGTTGGCCTTTAAAGCCCTAAACGGTTCCGGCCCAAGCTACCTATCCGACCGCATCTCTGCCTATGAACCCACCAGGACTTTGAGATCATCCGGGGAGGCCCTGCTCTCGATCCCGCCTGCCTCACAGGCACGCCTGGTGGGGACGAGAGATAGGGCCTTCTCGGTGGTGGCTCCTCGGCTGTGGAACGCCCTTCCTACGGACATTAGACTAGCACCATCTCTAATGGTATTCCGCAAAAAAGTGAAGACCTGGCTGTTTGAGCAGGCGTTCCAATAATGAGTGCAATGATTGGTTAATGAACACTGGAATGGAACAATGGATGACGAATCTGGATCGTGTTTTTGATGACGAGACGACAGTGAATGGGTATTGTAGTAACTGTTTATTAATTGTGTAATGTGTTAGGTTGTTAACTGTTTCTATACTGTAGCACTTGAATTTTTGCTGTTCGTATTTGTTGTGAACCGCTGTGAGTCGCCTTCGGGCTGAGAACAGCGGTATATAAGGAAGGTAAATAAATAATAGTGTCGCCAAGGTGCATCCCTCCCATTAACACCGACGTCGATGGCGCCCAGATCCCAAATCCCTCTGGCTATCTCCCAGACCAGTCTCTCGGGATTTATCGGGAGAAAACAAGCTTGCGAAAACCCAAACAACACTCAGAATGTTTCACGTTCTTTTTCCCGACAGCCGTGGCGTGAGCTCATGAATAAACACAGCACAACCCTTGTGGGGTCAGCGGTGGGATCCTGCGCCACGAGAGGCTTCTATTTTTATCCCGGAGCCTTTTTCCAGAAGGCATTGTTTCTGCCTCCCAGAATGGCGGCAGGCCTTCTTCGGCCTCCCTTGAGCATGTTGCTCTGCTTATAGAAAGCGGCTTCCAGTAATTCTTCTCTGGCTGCAGACGGACCGGCTTGCCCAGCCGTGCCTCCCTCCCCGGTCCGGAGCCACTCGTCTGCATGACGTCAGGCGCCGGCTCCGGGAAACCTCCCCGGCGCACACAAACATACACAACCCTTGCTTGTTTCTTGCGCATCGACAGGGAGCGCACAGCTATAGGATGGGGACACTTGGCTGGAACACAGTCCACACCAAAGGGACCTCGGAGTGTTGTCGAAGGCCTTCATAATAATAATAATAATAATAATAATAATAATAATAATAATAATAATCTATATAAATAAAAACATAATGTTCGTTTGTGGGATTAACAGAACTCAAAACCACTGGGGGAATTGACACCACATTTGGACACAAGACACCCAACAACCCAATGGATGTCCTTCACTCATACAAACACAACAAAATGCAGCAGAAGAGACTTTAAAAGGCCCCAAAAGCTAAATGATGGAAAGGTAAATGACAATACAGAAAAAGGGAAGAAAGAGGGAGGGAAGGGGAGAGAAGAAAGAAAGAAAGAAAGAAAGAAAGAAAGAAAGAAAGAAAGAAAGAGAGAAGGAGGGAGGAAGGAAGAAGGAAGAAGAGGAAGGAAGAAGGAAGGAAGGAAGGAAGGAAGGAAGGAAGGAAGGAAGGAAAGGGCTCTGCTCTCGGTCCCACCAGTCTCACAAGTGTGGCTGGTGGGGACGAGGGACAGGGCCTTCTCAGTGGTGGCCCCTCGGCTCTGGAACTCTCTCCCACTGGAGATCAGAACCGCCCCTTCTACCTTGAAGTTTAGGAAACAGGTGAAGATTGGCTATGGAGACAGGCATTTGACGAGTGAGTCAATACCCTGAGATATGGAAGGATGTTGATGAATAACGATTTTAGTTTTGACGACTGACCATTGTAGTTATTGATTGTAATTGCTGTTTTAATGTTTTAGTGTAATATGAATTTGATGTTTTATTGATTGTCTGTGATTTTATTGTTGGAAACCGGCCTGAGTCCCTCAACAGAGGTGAGAAGACCAGTATACAATTTTTTAAAAAATAAATAAATAAATAAAGGAAAGAGGTAGAGAAGGAAGAAAGGAGAGAAAGGGGGAGGGAAAGAAAAGGAGGAAGGAAGGAAGGAGAGAAGGAAAGAAAAAAGGGAAAGAAGGAAGGAAAGAGGGAGTGAAGGAAGGGGAGAAGATGTAGAGAAAGAGGGAGGGAAGGAAAGAAGGAAAGAGAAGGAAGAAAATAGAGACAGCAGAAGAGAAAGAAAAAGGGGGAAGAAAGGAAAGAGATAGAGAAGGAAGGAAGGAAAGAGGGAGTGAAGGAAGGAGGGAAAGAAGGAGAGAAAGAGGGAAGGTTGGCCACAGCAACGCGTGGCGGGTACAGCTAGTAATAATAATAATAATAATAATAATAATAATAATAATAATACTTTATTTAAACCATCTCCCCAAGGGACTCAGTGTGGCTTACATGAGGCCAAGCCCGCAATACATTAATAAACAAAGGCAATAATAAAAAAATCAATACAATGCAATTAATATAAATCACATAAACACAAAATAAACAATCAACAGTGACACACAAGCATGGCCATAATCACTGGGTTGCTGTGAGTATTTTTGGGCTGTACGGCCATGTTCCAGCAGCATTTGCATATTTGTGTGTGTATGTGTGTGTGTGTGTATGTATGTGTGTGTGTGTGTGTGTGTATGTGTATATATATATATATATATATATATATATATATATATATATATATGCACATACACACACACACACATATATTGCTTTTATGTTAAGTAGCTTTGAGTCTCCTTTGGAAGAGATAAAGTGAGGTATAGGTAATGATAATGGTAATGATAATGATAATGTGGGACTTTCAAATCCAGACTGACAAAAGTTTTGGAACACAATACACCAGACATCATGATTGTGGAAAAGAAAAAAAAAATGGATTATTGATGTCGCCATTCCAGGTGACAGTCGTATTTAAGAAAAACAACAGGAGAAACTCAGCCGCTATCAAGATCTCAAAATCGAACGGCAAAGGCTCTGATTGAATAAACCAGTCCAGGTGGTCCCAGTGGTCATTGGCGCACTGGGTGCCGTGCCAAAAGATCTCAGCGGCATTTGGAAACAATAAACATGGACAAAATCCCGATCTGTCAACTGCAAAAGGCCACCTGACTTGGATCTGCATGCATAATTCGGAAATACATCACAGAGTCCTAGACGCTTGGGAAGGGTTCGAATTGTGATGTTGTGATACAAAATCCAGCAGAGAGGACATGTGTACATGTGGTTTTGTGCATGCATTTTTTTTTTTTGGCTTTTTAAGTCTCTTCTGCTGTGTTTTCCAGTGTTTTTAGGGGTGATGGACACTCATTGGCCTGAGACGTGTCTTGGGTCCAAATTTGGTGTCAATTCGTCCAGTGGTCTTTGAGTTATGTTAATCCCACAAATGAACATTATGTTTTTATTCATATAGATATATATATATACACACACACAGTATATATAGGGACTCTAAAGGCACACCAAATGGTGCAAATGGTGCAAATGGAAGCGACGGGCAATGCAGTGGCAGCTTGACAAGGAAGAAAGGGGTGCTGGTCAGTCATCCACTCTGCTTACCTGCTGACCGCTGTACCTCAGGAAGAGGACATGGATGTCCAGGCTGGGATCTGTAGGGCTGCGACCCCTGCAGCCCCTCACCGCCTGGCTGGTGGTGTAGAACACATTGACGCCGTCCTCCGCCGTGAGCGGCTCCAGGTCGCACACGGGAAGCTCCACCGGGCCTAGGAGAGGAAAGGAGCACCGGTCAGTGGTCTGGAACCGGCAACAGACCCGGGAACCTTCTCACCTTGGAATATAACCTGCCTATATCAGCATGCATAGATCAGCTTGTGTGTCCTCCTGGATTCATCACTGAGCAGGCAGCTAAAACTCGTGCACCAGCTGCGCCCATGCCTTCAGAAACCCGATTTGGCCACAGGAGTCCACGCTCTTGTTCCCTCTCAAATAGACTACTGCAACATGCTCTATGTGGGGCTGCCTTCCCATCTCTACTCTGGAGTGTTACAGGTTGCTCACTTTTTTCTAAAGTCAGTATTGTCCAACTTGTGGCCCTCCAAGCATTTGAGATTTTATCTCCCAGAATCCTTTACCATTGGACAAGCTGCCTAGGGTTTCTGGGAATCGAAGTCCCAGACATCTGGAGGACCACAAGTTTGTGGGCTGTTGTAAGTTTTTTTGGGTTATATGGACATGCTCTAGAGGCATTTTCTCCTGACGTTTCGTCTGCATCTATGGCAATCATCCTCAGAGGTAGTGAGGTAGAGGTAGAGACCTCACAACCTCTGAGGATGCTTGCCATAGATGCAGGCGAAACGTCAGGAGAAAATGCCTCTAGAACATGGCCATATAGCCGAAAAAACCTACAACAACCCAGTGATTCCGGCCATGAAAGCCTTCGATGACCACAAGTTTGATCCCTCTGTCTTAAGTGGTTCAGCAATGAGAGAAGGACACATGCTTCATACAAAATGAAATCTTTCTTTCTCTGTTTGCAAATATATTTCAAAGGACTCTGCCCTGAACCAGGAACCGGAATGGCAAATGCTGGCCCTATATAACCACCTACAAAACAAACACATTCTCTAGTACATTGCATAAGAAAGGCCAGTGCTGCATCCCTTCCGTTGGACCACCAGTGAGTGTTTTGTAAATACTATAGCACAGGTGGCTGGCCTGCTTCTATGCAACTGCACCTATGATCTCTGGAGTGTCTCCATGTGCAAGAAGCAAACGTGCCATGCTGAGCCTCCTTTAAAACAAAACCAAATGTCCTCTCTGCAGTCACATGCGCGAAATGGGCTTCGCATCCAGTTTGGGGACTTCCTAATCGAATCACATGATGCTTTGGAGAAACAACCAAAAGGAGGAAGCAGCCTTTCTCAAAAGAGGAAATCGGAAAACTCGGTCCCTCATGTGACTTCAGCTAATCGCAGCCTGGAATGCTGAAGGGTTTTTAAGAGCAGGAAGAGGGGCATAAATTGCACTGAAAGCAACAATAATACCATTCAGGGCTCATCTACACTGACTGTTTAGATCGATTCGGAATCAGTACCAGTTAGGTGCAAACAGGTGTCACAGTACGGATGATTAGACTGCCATTTTTGGAAGAGGTTCAAGGCCAGACGTTGTGGGGCCAGAGTGAAGAGAGGGGGGGCCAGAAGACAGTTCCACCTTGTCTCCGGTGCTATGCTAATAATATAATATAATATAATATAATATAATATAATATAATATAATATAATATAATATAATATAACGGCACTCCATGCAGTCATGCCGGCCACATGACCTAGCAGTTCGAAAACATGCAAATGTGAGTAGATCAATAGGTACCGCTCGGTGGGAAGGTAACGGCGCTCCATGCACTCATGCTGGCCACATGACCATGGAGGTGTCTACGGACAATGCTGGCTCTTCGGCTTAGAAATGGAGATGAGCACCACACCCCAGAGTCAGACATGACTGGACTTAATGTCAGGGGACTACCTTTACCTTTACCTTAATATAATATAATATAATATCATATCATATCATAATAAATTGTGGCAAGTTCTGGGTGGTAAGGGCATACCAAATCACCTTGTCTCTCTCCTGAGAAATCTGTATAAGGAACAGTCGGAACTGACCACGGAACAATTTATTTATTTCGCGTATTTCTACCCCGCCCTTCTCAACCCCTGAGCGGGGACTCAGGGCGGCTTACAAAAGGCACAATTCGATGCCAACAACAAACAATAAGATAAAACATGTATCAATAGCAATTATAAACAATTAAAACAAGCAAGTTATATATCACAATCAATAAGACCAATCTAATGTTCAACGTTCGCCAGCTCAGACAACAACAGACTGGTTCAAGATTGGGAAAGGCGTACGGCAAGGCTGCATACTCTCACCCAACCTTTTCAGCTTGTATGCAGAACACATCATGCGAGGATGTGCGGGGCTTGATGAATGCAAAGCTGGGGTGAAAATGCTGGAAGAAACATTAACAACCTCAGATATGCAGATGACACCACTCTGATGGCCGAAAGCGAGGAGGAGCTGAGGAGCCTTCTAATCAAGGTGAAAGAAGAAAGCGCAAAAGCCGGGTTGCAGCTAAACATCAAAAAAACGAAGATTATGGCAACAAGAATGATTGACAACTGGAAAATAGAGGGAGAAACTCGTGGAGGCCGTGACAGACTTTGTATTTCTAGGTGCAAAGATTACTGCAGATGCAGACTGTAGCCAGGAAATCAGAAGACGCTTACCTTCTTGGGAGGAGAGCAATGTCCAATCTCGATAAAATAGTAAAGAGTAGAGACATCAGACTGGCAATGAAGATCTGCATAGTCAAAGCCATGGTATTCCCTGTAGTCACCTACGGAGGTGAGAGATGGACATCCTCAGGGAAGGCTGAGCAAAGGAAGAGAGGTGCTTTTGAACTGTGGTGTTGGAGGAAAGTTCTGAGAGTGCCTTGGACTGCGAGAAGATCCAACCAGTCCATCCTCCAGGAAATAAAGCCCAGCTGCTCATTGGAGGGAAGGAGACTAGAGACCAAGATCAAGTCCTTTGGCCACATCATGAGAAGAAAGGAAAGCGGAGAAGACAATGATGCTGGGGAAAGTGGAAGGAAAAAGGAAGAGGGGCCGACCAAGGGCAAGATGGATGGATGGCATCCTTGAAGTGACTGGACTGACCTTGAAGGAGCTGGGGGTGGTGACGGCCGACAGGGAGCTCTGGCCTGGGCTGGTCCATGAGGTCACGAAGAGTCGGAGACGACTGAACGAATGAACAACAACAATATAAATAATTGTAATATAATATATTGCATATACATATATTTATAATATTATAATGTAATACAACATACTACTAATAATGAAATGATATATTTTATATTACAGGTAGTATTACTAATAATATTTCATATCTGTTCATGTCCAGCATTTATTTTTAAAGTTTTAACTACTACATCTGGCCCGGCCATAGGTTTTTAAAAATCATCCGGAGTTTCGGGGTACGGTGTCATCTGTACGCGGATGATGTCCAACTCTGTCACTCCTTTCCACCTGCTACTAAGGAGGCTGTCCAGGTCCTGAACCGGTGCTTGGCCGCTGTGACGGTCTGGATGAGGGCGAACAAATTGAAATTGAATGCCAGACAAGACAGAGGTACTCCTGGTCAGTCGCAAGGCCGAACAGGGTATAGGGTTACAGCCTGTGTTGGATGGGGTCGCACTCCCCCTGAAGACGCAGGTTCGCAGTTTGGGTGTGATCCTGGACTCATCGCTGAGCCTGGAACCCCAGGTTTCGGCGGTGACCAGGGGAGCATGTGCACAGCTAAAGCTTGTGCGCCAGCTGCGCCCGTACCTTGGGAAGTCTGACTTGGCCACGGTAGTCCACGCTCTGGTTACATCCCGTTTAGACTACTGCAACGCTCTCTACGTGGGGTTGCCTTTGAAGACAGCCCGGAAGCTCCAACTAGTCCAACGCTCGGCAGCCATGATTTTAACAGGAGCGGAGCGCAGGGAGCATACAACCCCCCTGTTGCGCCAACTCCACTGGCTACCGATCTGCTACCGGGCTGAATTCAAAGTGCTGGCGTTGGCCTTTAAAGCCCTAAACGGTTCCGGCCCAAGCTACCTATCTGACCTCATCTCTGCCTATGAACCCACCAGGACTTTGAGATCTTCCGGGGAGACCCTGCTCTCGATCCCGCCTGCTTCTCAAGCTCGGCTGGCGGGGACGAGAGATAGGGCCTTCTCGGTGGTGGCTCCTCGGCTGTGGAACGCCCTTCCTACAGACATTAGACTAGCACCATCTCTAATGGTATTCTGCAAAAAGGTGAAGACCTGGATGTTTGTGCAGGCGTTTGAGTAATTTAGTGCAATCTGGTAATGGAACATAGGAATGGAACAATGGACGACGAACCTGGACTACGCTTGGATGATGAGAAGATTGGGTACGGTTGTTTTTTGTAATAATTGTGCATTGTAATTGCTTATTGGTAATTTATGGATAATGTGTTAAGTCAATTGTTATATGTTGTATGGAACCACTGCTGTTTCTACTGTTTTTACTGTTTGTGAACCGCTGTGAGTCGCCTTCGGGCTTGAGATACAGCGGTATAGAAGCAAAGTAAATAAATAAATAAATAAATAAATAAATAAATATTGTTTATTTTGCTTCTTGCTTGTTGTTTTTATTGATGTGTTGTTGATGTGTTGTTGGGCTTGGCCTCATGTAAGCCGCTCCGAGTCCCTTGGAGAGATGGTGGCAGGGTATAAAGTATTATTATTATTATTATTATTATTATTATTATTATTATATAATGGTACAGTACAATATAGTAATATATAATAGTAACATTCTACAATGCTAATAATATAATATATTGTATATATATATTATATATATCTCTCGTAAGCCGCTCTGAATCCCCTTCGGGGTGAGAAGGGTGGCATAGAAATGTCGTAGATAAATAAATCAATAATTCTTTCATATTTTGGGGTTTTGTTTGCATTACAAATAAGATGCATGCACACGGCACATATCTTATTTGTAGTGCAAAGACCCAAAAACCACGAAAGAGCCATACGATGCCCTGTTTCCTTGAATTTAATGCTCACCTTCTGTGGCTAAAGGACCCTGCCAAAATAGGGTTCGAATTAGATTCGCATCATATAGTCGTTTCCCAAAAGGTTATGCTTTTCAAAGGATTATGATAATACAAAAGG